TCACCAGGCTGTCCAATTTCCAAAAGGAAGAGTCCTTCAGTACCAGACTTTTCCGAGCCTCGAAAGCGATCTAATTCCGATCTGGCGGTGGACTCCAAGTTGGAAAACATCAAGAAACCATCAAATCCAGATTTAACAGTCGAATTGAAGTTTGGCATTAAGAAACCTACTTGGAATAATGCAATGTTGGAGATGCGTGAAGCTATGCCCAAAAAGTTCCAGCAATTTCTAATTGACTTGTCAAATGGACCATCGATAAGGGAATTTTGTGAAAAGTCGAATCCAAATGTTGTCAACCACTTCAATGAAGTATTATTAGCGATGAAACGATTCCGCGATATTCATCTTCAAATAGTTACCAAATACATTATTCTACAATCGAAAAAGAGTGCAGTAGCATCAGTAGATACGGGTGGATCTAGTCCAGCAGTAGGAACGGGAGGGACCGATCTTGTTCCATTTTTGAAACAAGTTCGTAATGAAACCAAAAATGCACAAATTCCTGTCCGTCTATAGAGGTACTTGTCGATAATAAAGTGTTTTTTTAAAACGAAGGATGAGTGGCGTTATAGATAAATGAATAGTTTGTACGTGAATCAACATTTTCATGTTTCGTAGCAATCAAAGAAAATTCTTAAAGAAATACCCAAAGAATTCATGTGCCATCACATCAAAACCATTCCATGAACGATTTACAGAAAACCCAGATAAAGTATCAAATACTGAACTACTGAAAACTATCATCAGTTCAACTATTGCTTCTGTTAAATCTTATCATATTAACGGTCCTCCTGTTTCTCAATGGCCTCAATCATATCATGTTGCTGTCGAAGTGGTATCTTTAATCAACCTTATAACTTTTAGACAAAGGCCATCACAAATACTTTAATATCAAATCAAACTATACCATCATTACATACCTTTCAAGAAAAATCAAAATCAAAAACTCCCGTACCTAGAGATGCTAAAATTGATATTGAATTCTTTACCCCTCAAAATAAAGTCATTGAATTCTTAAAACAGAATGCACCTGCAGATTGGCCAAAAGTTACAGAAGATATGAATGACATATATGGAGAATGGATAAGCACCTCAAATGTAGATCAAGATTATGTCGTTTATCTATTACATGGGTAATCTATCAACGATCAAATTGATATTTAAGAGGTGGTTATCTAGGTGGAAGTATCCAGTTACATAGAAATGTCGCATATGAAATTTCTAAATCATCTCAATCACTTGTTTATGGTAAATTACATTGTTATGAATAGAATAGGTATAAATTATAGAACTGCACCACAAAACCCCTATCCATGTGCTGTTATTGATGCAGTATCTGGATATCTACATTTAATTGATAAATATCATCCAAAGAAAATCGTAATTGCAGGTGACTCTGCAGGCGGAGGATTAGCATTAGCTACAATGATGGTTTTAAGAGATATGAATGTACCACTTCCTGCTGGGGGATATACCATCAGTCCCTGGGTATGAAATATACTTTCTTAACAAAAAGTGTGATTTGACTGGGATGTTCACCAATCATAAAGAACCATACGAGTTAGACTATATACCAACTGTTCCGGATGATATCAGGCTAGGTAATCGCCTACATTATTACATTCCTGATGATCACGCTGATATCCCATACGCTAGTCCATTGCTACAAGATAATTTCAATGATTTACCACCAATATTAATTCAATGTGGATCATTGGAGAAATTGTATGCAGAAATCACTGCATACTATAACAAATGTACTCAAGGTGGACAATTAGCTCAGTTAGAAATTTACGAAGTAAGTATTGTAGGGTTAATGAAATAGGACCATGTGCATGTGTTTCCGTTATTGCGTTTTCCTAAAGCGTCCAAGATTGCTTTTACAAGAGGTGGAGATTGGATTCAATCAATTTCAGGACGTAAAAATGAACCATTCAGTTCCAAAGTATTAAAATTCAACTTTGATGGAGAACATAGTCCATTTCAATAAATATACTCTAATGTCTATGTTATGCTTGTTCGGTTCAATCGGTGTACAAACTGTACCTTTCTATTCAAACGACCATGATCAATTTAGTGAAACAGAATAGAGATATAGTCTAGGGAATTTCGTGAATCCAGCAATTCACTCAACCATTTGATTCAAATCCATCAACGATATTTGTATAAGTCTACGTTCAGTATTACAATCACTTCTCCCTTAGATTGAATTACTTTTTTCTACGTGTCGTTTTTTGACAAATTTTCAATGATTTGGAAGAATCAATCAATTCAAATGTTTTCAATAATTTCAATATTAGCAACGATAGTCTCGTCAGTCAGTTTACCAGGTGTAGTTCCAACAGATTATACTGAAGGGGAGAGAGTCGAATTACATGTCAACGTATTATCATCATTAAAAAAATCAGTTTTACCATTCGAGTAATTGATCTTTTATCTATAAACTATTCAGTTATTACTATGAACAATTTCATTTCTGCAGACCGGAAGAGGGTGCTATTCAACAAACTCAGAGTATTGGAAGTATGTTGTTTGGTGATAGATTGTTCAATTCCCCTTTTGAAGTAATTCTCATCACATTAATAGATTCTAGTTGTATATGTTAAAGAATCAAACATGTAAAAAGACTTGTGAAGCACAAATTCCTGCAGATGATGCAAAGTTTATTAATCAAGCAATTCAGGAAACGTATTTGTTAAGCTGGATGGTGGATGGTCTTCCAGCAGTAATCATATCAATATTTATATACTTCAGGCTCAGAAAAGCAACACAGGAATGGAACACGCTTCCATTGGATTTCATCTTGGACAACGAATCGGTAGGATTAATCCTTCCACAAATGTATAAAAATATCCCTCAAAAGTAATATTCAATAGGAAATGGAAGTGATGTCACTATTAAACAATCATTTTGAAATATACATTCAATACCATGAACGAAAAGACAAAAAATATAGAGTGGTGGGAGTTTTTGTAAATCCTACAAGTACACAATTTGATACTTGCGATAGAAAAGAAAAGGATATGGGTATGGCATTGAGTGAAACTGACATGAATTCTGTTACTTACACTTATGATGTTTATTGGATAGTAAATCTTTATTTTTACTAAAGCGATAGCCTTCAGAGATTGAATGGGGATCTAGATGGGACCATTATTTGTATTCAACTGATAACAAAATCCATTGGTTTAGGTAAGTCTTATTTTTCCTTAAAGGTGCAGTGTCATTAACTCCTTAATTGTCGTACTGCTATTGAGGTAAATTTCTGTTTAAATGACTTTTCAGTGCTATGGTATCAGGAATATTATTGCAAGCCCTACGAAGAGATATAATCAGATACAACCAAGTCGATTTTGAGGATTCCCAGGAACAATTCGGATGGAAAATGGTGCATGGAGATGTTTTTAGACCTCCTATTCATCGAATGATACTTTCAGTGCTAATTGGAAACGGATTTCAGTTACTGTTCATGTCTGTTGTCACAATTGGTACGTTTGGAATGTTGTTTATATGCAGTTATTGCTGCGTTAGGATTTCTGTCTCCATCCAATAGAGGTGCACTGGCTACTGCCATGATTATTTTGTACTTTTTGTTTTCCTGTGTTTCTGGATATACTTCTGCCAGAGTTTACAAAATGTGCGGTGGTCAACGATGGAGGCAAAATATGCTAATGACTACCCTTTTAGTCCCTGGGTAAAACAACTAATTTAATGAAAGGTCTTTGTTTGGTTTACTGATAGTCTTGAATTTTCTCTTTATTGGATCCAAATCATCAGCAGCTATTCCATTCACTACCCTTTCAGCATTGTTATCGCTATGGTTCTTTCTCTCTATACCACTCAGTTTGCTTGGTGCCTTTTTTGGATTTAGGAAATCCGTAACCATAAAATATATTAACAGTTAGAAAATTCAAGTTCCTGTTCGAACCTTACAGATTCCAAGACAAATCCCCGAACAAGTAAACCAGATTATTGGACTCTAAACTTTAGCCGGTATACCTTCAACTTATTCCCGCAGTGCTACTAGCTGGAGTATTGCCATTTGGTGCTCTCTTCATTGAGTTATTATATATCCTAAATAGCATCTGGTCTAATCGAATTTACTATGTATTTGGATTCTTGATGATTGTTTTTGTTATTCTGATTTTGACAACTTCTTTGGTGTCTATTATTGTCATTTATTTTTCATTATGTACAGAGAATTATCACTGGTATTGTAACTTTATTAATAGTAGGTGGTGGAGAAGTTTTATGGCCGGATCATGTTGTGGTTTCTATGTTTTTATATATAGCATAATCTATTGTGTGACGAAATTAGAGTTAAGTGATACATCATCCATTATATTATATTTTGGATGGACAGCAGTTGTGTCTGGGGGATTGGGATTGATGACTGGTACTGCATCCTTTGTAGCATGTTTGATCTTTGTTCGATCGATTTATTCTGCAATTAAGGTAACCATTATGTCTTTGTTTATTTTTAGATTGATTAAATAAATTATAGTATCAAATATCTAGATTTTCATTAAAGTCCTATTGCAAGTAAATGTACTAAAGTCGTTGTCATATATCTTTGACTCCTAAATAGTACCTGTTAGAATACAAATATGCAATCATTGCAGCTATCGAAAGTATGAAAAGTATGAAATTGAGTATAGTTTGACAACCAGTGTCTTTCTTCAAACTGAAAACTAACCCATGAGATGTAAGATTTTGTAAGGTAATTGCAAAGTTGATACCTGAAAATGTACTACCTCCAGCGAGTGTCAACGCTGGCAATTATTAAGAGCAAACATGGTTGTCAGTATCAAGTAACCATAATACAAGTAGCGTTACAATACCAAAGAGTACCATTTATACTGTCCAAACCATCATCAGTATAATCTGGGTCGTTTCCAAACACTTTATGCAGCATACGGACAACAATGCAATGGTAAATTGAGTTGAATGTCCTTTTTAATCGACTAATATTATATACGTGCCACAAGAAATTTTTCAACAGCACTGTGGAACAGAGGAAGTTCGTTGGGCTCATAACCCAAAAGTCGAAGGATCGAAACCTTCCAGTGCTACATTTCTTTTTGTTTTTTTGTTTCTTCAAAGTAACAGGATCAATTCATCCAAATGCTTTTATTTTTGTTTTCCTTTTACTACCATAAGAAGGTTCTTATAAATGCTGAGTATTGGTTACGAAAGACACCATATAGTTTACATTGGGAGTAACATATAAGATTAGAACCAATGCAGTTCAATCATCCTCTAATGTGTAAATAGAATCAATTTATCAAAAATTAGTACCAGGATCAATTCTAAATTTACTGCGTTTGACTTTACTCGGCTTGCTCAAGAAAATTCGACTTGGAAAGATATCTATTTACAATGAAGATAACCAGATTTAATAACAATATCACTCCCATCAACCAGAACAATGAACAGATTGATGGCCGAAACGGCATCCGCGCAACTTGATAAAGTCCAATAAGTTGGAGATATAATCAAAATATTTTATCTACTATACTGTGATATTTTATTCCAAACGAATTCCAGTAAGGTTTGCTGTCACCCCACTTTCATTGGCAACAATTTTCATTTCATCAATTATCACCTTATGCCCCAAGTTCATTATTTGGGTAATGAATACTTAAAACAGAATTGGGTTTTATTGTTGTCCAATACCATTTCGTGTAGATTGAGGAGCCCTGATATTAATATTAAAATCTTACCGTTAATATCATCATTATTCACATTCCCTCCATCCGTTGTGCTGACAATTGCATCTGTGATATTTTAAACTCCTTTTTAGCAGGTATGATATATTCTAAGGTTAATATTAAACATATTTTTAAATAGTTTCGCATGATGGGGTCGTTTCGCATGATGGGGTCGGTCAATTTCCGTTTACCGTGGTTGACCATATAAAAAACTGAACAGGAATGTCGACCCTGTTTCCCAATTATGATACTGCTTTCAACTTTCTTAATAGTTGACGATTCTACAAACAGCAATAAAGGGTATATTCTTATTGATATCATACTTTAGTTAACCAGATATAATTTGTCGTTTCTGGAACCGTATGTTAAATAAGCAAACTTGACATTCTATTTTCGGATGGTATATTGAGTTCTATTTTTTAATGGAATGATATCAAGTGTGTAATAAGATATTTTTTGTTTTACTTAATTAATGACAATTTTATAAATTATTAATGACAATTTTATAAATTAGGACACAGAAATGTGGGTCAATTCAAACATAAATGGAGGAATTAGGTGATAAGAAAAGGAATGTCTGTGTGATGTCCACAAGTGGGCAATAATGATTGTTCATCTCGATTGTGCTCTGAGTGTAAAGTCATATCCCGGTGATATATTCCATTTGAAGTTCAATCGTCTCGTCTTCTTGGAAATATCTGTGTGATTGAATCTCCATTTAGTGGTCCTCGTCTCCAGTTGAATTCATTAACCATAAAAGAATATTTTCGACAGTTTTGAATGGCTTCAATACATGTAACTTCTTGGAGTGATGGTTTGAAGTAAAAATTGTCAAAGATATTGTTTCTTCATCAACTTCAAGCATACGAACTGCTTGAATATGGTGGTTTTATAACTTCCACCAGATTTCCTTTTCCAACTATTTACTTTTACTGAAATATTGAGACTAATTCTGTAATTGTGTTTTAATACAGTTTCAGCCACTTCCCTTCTCGGAGCCGTAAGAGGTTAACCGAATTCTTTCCTTTTATAAAATGGAACAATTAACAGCTGATATTAACAAAGTCAGCACTAAAATTGATGTTATTGAAATGCTACTAAAGAAACCATTTCGAACTTGGACTGAAGAAGAACTAAACCAATATGGAATTGAAGAACAGAAAGCGAGGGACCAGCTCAGGATGGAAAAGGAGCAGCTCAAGGAGCTTCTGATTTTAAAAGAAAAGAAAGGCAGGGTTCTGATATTACTCCAGAACAGGTTTTAAAAGACTTGGTTGGGTTTGATATTGAAACTTCCAATGTAAAGTTTTCCAGCCCTTCAGTCACTTTAAATGGATTACCAAACGGTGAAATCAGCTACATAGTTCCTTTGATGAAGTTTGTAAATAGAGAAGTTCCGACTCAAACTCTTTATAACACATTGGATGACTATTTGGATTGGAAAGAAAATAAAATCGGGGAACCCGAAAAGAAAATCAAGTTTGCTACTGTAGTTGGAACGTCAGGGATAGGAAAGACTCCGTTTGCCCATCGTTTCATTGACCTTAAATACACGGGAAAGCACTCGGCTATCATTAATGATTGCCGTGACAGTCACAGAAGATACAGAGTGTCGTGTAAGAAGTTTGACATTACCAGAGATGTCGAAACGCAGTTGTCATTGCAGATTCTATATGAAGCTTTCAAACATTCAAGTGGAACCTACCATTTGCAAGATTATATTTCTACATTTCATCGAAAATTTCGAAAGCTTTCACTAGCTCATGTTTTGCAACTCATCACTGAAACTTTTGGCCTTGAATCCAGCCCTCACGCTGAACAAAGACTTTTGATCATCAACTTGGACGAAACGAATTATCTTTTAGATAGTGATAAGGAAAAGTCTTTCTTTAAACAATTGCTTTATATTCTTCGTGATGCTTCTGAACGTTTTACGCTTCTCACCATTCTCTCTGGTACTAATTCTGTTGGCCTATTTAAAGAAGTAAAAATCAGTCAGCGCTATTTTGACAATATTGAATTGCCATTGATTGATATAGAAGCTTCACAGGAAGTTGTGCTTGGAATGTGTTCGGATCCAACGAAGCACGTCATATCTCCTTATTTGAAGTATCTGTTGATACTTTGTGGCGGTATTGGTAGATATATTGAAATTGCAATCATAGAAATGTCAATTATGGGCGCTTATGCGATGAATCAATCATCTATCAAAGGATTCCAGTTCGACGCATACGAGTACTTTCTGGGCTATTTACAAGATTCCTCTCTTAATATTGAAACTCTCCTAAAGAAGGTAACCTCTGAAGTTTTGTCTCGTTACCTTTACGTCTTTCAAAGTCATGCAAAATCAATTGAACTTCTATCTTGCTACACTCTGTTCCAATGGAATGTGGAACGTGGAAGTATCATTGATGGCTCTAGCGTTAGTGATCTTGAAAAAAAAGGGCTTGTATTTCTGCAGTATGTTCCTCAGAAAATGCAGTACATTTGCACTATTCCGTTTATTACCCTGTACTGGGTAATCACTTACAGCAACAGCAACATTTCTATACCATTTTTGAAGGATCTTAAAAGCCATTTTTCTCCAGAAGAATCAGAAAACAATACTCTGCATATAATGATGGCCAAATTATGGGGACTGAGCCGTAAAGATAATCGGCCCCGTAGTATATTGGGGTTTTGCACCGTACAGTTATCAGAGTTGGTGCCGTTACGTGCAGATCAACCTGATTTTAAAATCAAATTTCGCCCTTTGTTTACTATTCTTACGAGTGGGCATCAAATTCAACGCAGCTCCAAGTGGTACCAACGTGAAACAAAATGCATGACTTTTCTAAATGCAAAAGGTTCAACATATGTGGACTCTGTGATAGTTTCTAACCCACGCATTGGAATACAGGAAAAGCGAGGCGTATTAGACAAGAATCGAAATGAGGATGGATTTCAGTCATCAACAGTTAGTGGTTCCTCTTCCAAGGTGGTGCGAAGAAATTTTTCTAAGAGTGACGTCTTTATCCTGGTTACAGATGCAAATGCTGTTAAGATGGCTCTTGGCAATCGTGATGTGATTATTGATCCCATATCTTTTTTCGCGTTTGCTGATCCTTTATTGGCTTTAAGGAAACTGCTTAGCCTTAGTTAACGCAATGAATCTGTCCAACGAACGAAAATTTAACAAGAAAGTACCCTTTGATATCTAATATATCTTGTTTCTCTTTTAGACTAATTCGAAAAACATAATCTTTTGCTTGCTTTCACGCGTAACTAGATTATTAGATTATTCAATAATCTAGAGTTGGATAGGTGAAATGTAATCGTTCGATGGTATTGTGATTTATAATCACCAATCC